TGGCCATTGTTACCCTCTACTGATGCTGCTGGCCACTGTTACCCTCTGCTGATGCTGCTGGCCACTGTTACCCTCTGCTGATGCTGCTGGCCACTGTTACCCTCTACTGATGCTGCTGGCCACTGTTACCCTCTACTGATGCTGCTGGCCACTGTTATCCTCTAATGATGCTGCTGGCCACTGTTACCCTCTCTGCTGATGCTGCCGGCCACTGTTACCCTGTACTGATGCTGCTGGCCATTGTTACCCTCTACTGATGCTGCTGGCCACTGTTACCCTCTGCTGATGCTGCTGGCCACTGTTACCCTCTGCTGATGCTGCTGGCCACTGTTACCCTCTACTGATGCTGCTGGCCACTGTTATCCTCTAATGATGCTGCTGGCCACTGTTACCCTCTGCTGATGCTGCTGGCCACTGTTACCCTCTGCTGATGCTGCTGGCCACTGTTACCCCCTACTGATGCTGTTGGACACTTTTACCCTCTATTGATGCTGCTGGCCACTGTTACCCTCTACTGATGCTGCTGGCCACTGTTACCCTCTACTGATGCTGCCGGCCACTGTTACCCTCTAGTGATGCTGCTGGCCACTGTTACCCTCTACTGATGCTGCTGGCCACTGTTATCCTCTAATGATGCTGCTGGCCACTGTTACCCTCTCTGCTGATGCTGCCGGCCACTGTTACCCTGTACTGATGCTGCTGGCCATTGTTACCCTCTACTGATGCTGCTGGCCACTGTTACCCTCTGCTGATGCTGCTGGCCACTGTTACCCTCTGCTGATGCTGCTGGCCACTGTTACCCTCTGCTGATGCTGCCGGCCACTGTTACCCTCTACTGATGCTGCCGGCCACTGTTATCATCTACTGATGCTGCTGGCCAGTTTTACCCTCTACTGATGCTGCTGGCCACTGTTATCCTGTACTGATGCTGTTTAACACTGTTACCCTCAATTGATGCTGCTGGCCACTGTTACCCTGTACTGATGCTGCTGGCCATTGCTACCCTCTTCTGATGCTGCTGGCCACTGTTACCCTCTAATGATGCTGCTGGCCACTGTTACCCTCTCTACTGATGCTGCTGGCCACTGTTACCCTCTACTGATGCTGTTGGCCACTGTTACCCCCTACTGATGCTGTTGGCCACTGTTACCCTCTAGTGATGCTGCTGGCCACTGTTACCCTCTACTGATGCTGCCGGCCACTGTTACCCTCTAGTGATGCTGCTGGCCACTGTTACCCTCTACTGATGCTGCTGGCCACTGTTATCCTCTAATGATGCTGCTGGCCACTGTTACCCTCTCTACTGATGCTGCTGGCCACTGTTACCCTGTACTGATGCTGCTGGCCAGTTCAGCCAGTGACACTATGATAGTCTGATGGGAGAGCTTTAGGCTTTAGGCAGAGCATCAGCAACAGAGAATACTACCCTGTTATTCACTGTTATTAAGAGGAGAGGAGAGGAGAGGAGAGGAGAGGAGAGGAGAGGAGAGGAGAGGAGAGGAGAGGAGAGGAAGGAGAGGAGAGGAGAGGAGAGGAGAGGAGAGGAGAGGAGAGGAGAGGAGAGGAGAGGAGAGGAGAGGAGAGGAGAGGAGAGGAGAGGAGAGGACGAGGAAGAAGGAGAAAGGAGGAGAGGAGAGGGGAGAGAGGAGCGGAGGGAGAGGAGAGGAGAGAGAGGAGAAGAGAAGATACGACAAGATAAGACAAGATAAGAAGACTAGAGAGGAGAAGAGGAGTGTATTGAAATGAAAGGGAAAGCGAGGCGTCAGCATTAGCAGCTAATCCACTGCAGTGAGGAAGCTCTCTCTGTCTCCCTGCGGCCTGTGGGCTTCACTAGTCTGACTGGAGATGGGGGAGCTAGACAACACACCCCTGTGTTTCACAGCCATGATAACTCCAACCCACTAATTCATGACAACAGAGCAGCAGTACTGTTGTACTACACATGCTTTATGTCTCTGGCCTTTAACAAACACACTGTCACTGTCCTTTATCTCTCTGGCCAAAACACAACACATCCTCACCCCCTTAAACTCTCTGGCCATTAACAAACACGTCTCTCAATCTCCTTTTGAAACACTCTCAATGTTTTATATATATCGCCATTGAAAAGGAGCCCTGAGGGATTAGAGCCAAAACACAAAAAACGCATAATGAAACATCTGTCTACCCTCTGCTCCCTCCCTAGTCAATCCCCCCTCTCCTCCCCTCTCCCCCCTCTAGAGAAGGAGAGGAAGAGAAGAAGAGAGAGAGAGAAAGGAAGGAAGTAGAGAGAGGGAGAAAGAGCCTCGAGCAGGAGAGCCCTCTAGAAGGGGCCTCGGACTCCTTACTCTCTCCTCTCTCTCTCTCCTCTCTATTCTCTATCTCTTCTCTCTCTCGCTCTCTCCTCTCTCTCTCTTCTCTCTCTCTCTCTCTCTCTCTCTCTCTCTCCACCCGCTCTTCTTCTCTGTATACCGCTCCTCCCCCCATCTCTCTCTCTCACCCACACACTGTCTATTTAACTCACACTTAAACAGGCTTTCTAAAGATAGAATCCTGAAGATAAACAGGAAACACACAGCGTCATGGCAACAGCATGGAACTGACGACAAACACTGTTCAACTTCAGAATGGTTGCGGTGGCAAAATACAGAGAGTTCTACCTTCAGCTGTGTGTGTGTGAGCGTGTGTGTGAGTGTGTGTGTGTTTCTTTTTCTTTTCTGAATAACAGTGACGATGTCCCGAAGGGCCAGGGCCCATAGATGGGCAACTACGGTACAAAAACAGACAGGGTTGGCTTAGATTGTTGATAACATGTCAACTATATTTACTGAAAACATAAATAAAGTTGCACAATGTGCATTTGTCTCTCAAATACATCATTACAGTTGTTGGTTAGCTAGCTAGCAAATGTTAACTGTCACGGATTCAGCCGAGGCTGCTCCTCCTCCTTGCTCGGGCAGGCTTCGGCGTTCGTCATCCCCGGAGTACTAGCTGCTGCCGATCGATGTTTCGGTGTTTGTCTTGTTTGGTCTTTATTGTTTACACCTTTTTCCCATTATGTTGGATTGTATTCCCTATATTAACCCCTGTCTCTCATTGGTTATTGTGTGTGATTGTTCTTTGTCATTCCGGCAGTTGCTTTGGTGTTCGGGTTATTGTGTTTTCCTCCCTGTTTGGAGGTTTGTTGTTTTTGTACTTTATTTTTACTGTGTTCAGTAAAAGTACGTTGCCAGCCGCTCTGTGTCCTGCGTTTGACTTCGCTGACCGCATACACGTCGCATGACATTAACAATATTAGCATAGACCCGACATCAGTCAAAACACCTCAAAACAAGACATAGTATCAAGAACAAGATCTGAAACGAGCCACTTACAATTTATATTTTCTAAATATACAAATAAATAGAAGACGCCCTTATCCAGAGCGGCTTACAGGAGCAATTAGGGTTAAGTGCCTTGCTCAAGGGCACATCGGCAGATTTTTCAACTAGTCGGCTCGAGGATTCCAACCAGCAATCTTTTGGTTATTGGCCTAATGCTCTTGACTGCTAGGCGACCTGCCGCCACATGGCAGCTTCTTGTCATTGTTGCTAGCTATCTGGCCATCCAGAACCGTAACAACACACAGCCTTCTGCCCCTTTGAAGTGCGTGCATCATTTTCAGCTAACCCGTCTATAGGGAATAGGGTGCCATTTCGGACGCAGTCAGTGACTTGTGACTGAACATGATAACATGCTAACAGGCTAATATAGTGATATTATAAGACGTGGTGGGCAGTGACTCACGATGTTGACTTGCAGCGGACCAGATCCTGTTCTGAGCAGTCTCCTCCTGTAGCTGCCAGTCTCTCCATCACCAAGACACACTGAGGATGACTGGGAGTCTGCTGTAGGGGACAGACACACAGACAGTTCAACCACCACACACACACAAGCATGCGTACACCAACATGCACACATTGACACAGGCAGGCAGGCACACACACAGCCTGTAGGATAAGAAAATACAAATACACACGCACACACACACACACGCACACACACACACACACATGCACACGCACACACACGCACACTCAAACGCACACACACGCACACACAAATGCTTATGAACACACGCACACACACGCACACACAAACACACATGTATTACCTGTGTGTCCTGGGAACAGGGACAGAGTGGTGATGGTGCTGGGGGGGAGAGGGAGGGAGTGACACCTCTGAAGAGACACTCTGAGGGGGGGCTCTAAAGGTGACACCCCCGGGGGACGAGACAGGGCCTGGAACACAGTGGACAGTTACGCAGGCACACACACACACCAAACATCTCTCACATACAGAACCCCCCAACAATAAATCTTAAACCTCACAGAATATTCTGGTGCATAGGTTCTGAGTGCATGCCGCAGACAATCTTGTGATATGAATCATTCCTACCAGTCAGGTGAATGTGTCTCCAGGTGAAAAGTTCAGAGGCTGAGTTATTATAATGAGGGAATAATGAATGGACAGAACGTATGGGAGCGGTGAGGCAGAAAATTAGCCACGGACAGAGAAAGAGTGAAAGAGATAGAGAGAGAGAGAGAGAGAGAGAGAGAGAGAGAGAGAGGAGAGAGAGAGAGAGAGAGAGAGGAGAGAGAGAGAGAGAGAGAGAGAGAGAGAGAGAGTGAGTGAGAGAGAGAGAGATAGAGAGAGAGAGAGAGAGAAAGAGCAGAGGAAGAGCAGCTGAAGGAAAGGAGGATGTATGAATACAGCCTTCTAGAAATGGGACAGAGCGTGCAGCATTGTTGTAGAGTAGGAGTGTATAAATACAGGGTTTGTAATCTCCTCCCATCAAAGCGTACAGTGCGTGGTGTGGTTGATTCATTACTGGCCCTACCAGCCAGGAGGACTACAGCCTATATTTAACTGAGAGTTGGCGGAGACTACTGGTAAGAGTCTCCACACATACTCCCACTTTCATTCTCTCAGCAGTGGGATAGGGTGTGTGTGTGTGTGTGTGTGTGTGTGTGAGGTCTTACTCTGTGACTCTGCGCAGGGTGTATCTCCATGGTAACGGAGGGCTCTATGACAGAGCAGGGCCTGGCCAGACCGCCCGCCCGTCTCCGCCCCGGAGAGAGGTGCATCATGGGACCGGGCCTGCATCTGTGCCGGCACAGAGAGCCCCCCTCGGCCTGCTGGGTAACGGCAAAAGCACAGCCCTCTGGGAAGGGACTGCAGACTCTGAGGTCGACCAGGGCTGAGGCGGGACGGGGGCGAGGGCGGGGGGGCTTGGGAGGGGCAGGGGTCTTCACTGGACTAGAACAGGACTGGACTGACCTGGGTCTCCTCAAAACACTGCCTGATAGAGCTCCCTAATCAATCAATCAATGAATTATTCAATAAATCCATCAATGATCAATCAATTAATGAATCAACCAATGAATCAATTAATCAATCCATCATTCCATCAATCCATCAATCAATCAATCTGGTTATATGTAAAAGTTCCATCTCACTACATTCACAACCCTGATTTCCTTAGTTAGTTTCCATTTTAGTTTCCTTACAGGAAAATCCACTGTTCGACCAAGCCCAGAATAAATCTACAGGAGAATCCTCTGATAGACCAAGCCCAGTATAGGAGGGACTGACATGTCCTGACTTGCTGTGAGAGAGAGACCAGAGGGGAGATGAGTCATCTGAACACGGTGTGAGGAGAGGGAGGTGTGTGTAGCTGCAGTTAGAGTGGGGGCAGTCACACACACACACACACACACACACACACACACACACACACACACACACACACACACACACACACATACACATACACTTACACACACACATACACACACACACACACACACACATACACATACACTTACACACACACACACACACACACACACACACATACACACACACACATACACACACACACATACACACACACACACACACACACATACACATACACATACACTTACACACACACACACACACACACACACACACACACACACACACACACGGTTTTCCGTTGCACATATTTGCACTACAACACCTGATTTTACTAATTGAGGGCTTGGAAATGAGTTGACTAGCTGAACCAGGTGCGCTGGGGCTGGAATAGAACACATCTTTGGAATGTCTAAGGGATCCCTGAGGACTTGGTTGGGAACCACTTTTAGAACTAGATTCCCATGTTTTTTAGGACAAGATTTCCTGGTGTGTTTCTGTGTGGAGGAGACAGGAAGGGGTAGAAAAGACAGACTACGGTGGTTTAACTAACACTCCACACAGAGAGCTCTGACTCTACTTCCTCCTCTGGCCAACAGATGGGGCAAAAGAATACCCACAACATACCCGCTGCTCTCTGTATATTACCCACACCCTCTCTAACAGACACACCCTCTCTAACAGACACACCCTCTCTAACAGACACACCCTCTCTAACAGACACACCCTCTCTAACAGACACACCCTCTCTAACAGACACACCCCCTCTAACAGACACACCCTCTCTAACAGACACACCCTCTCTAACAGACACACCCTCTCTTACAGACACACCCTCTCTAACAGACACACCCTCTCTAACAGACACACCCTCTCTAACAGACACACCCTCTCTAACAGACACACCCCCTCTAACAGAGAGAGACCTATAGCCTACTTACTTAACATTGTACAGTACAAGTAACTGTTATGAGACTTACATGAAGCATTTAGATGATTGCTGTTGTTTTAAAAAAAGCAAAAGAATGATGATGTTTAACAAGGTTAAAAAGGTTAACAATGAGAAAATGTTGTAATGTAATAGTTACATGATGACCGGATCTGATAATGACATAGAATGAATTAATGATTTGATGGGACTGATTAAAATGAGGTGATGACTTACAATAACACATTTGATCATTACCAGGCACAGATTACAAAGAATGTACAACTATTTTAATTCCTTATTAACTGAATTGGTTTATTTGCAAAGATGTTTTTGGCAAACAAAATAGTGTGTCACAAAATCTTGCCAGAAGTTTGCAAATGTTTGCCACTTGTGATGAATCTGCGGCAAACCTTTGAAAACAATAATATTTATTGCCAATAGTGGCAAACAGTTTGCCAGAGGGTTTTTTCTGGCAGACAATTCTCTCAAGATTCTATAAAAAAATGTGGCAAACCTGTGGCAACAATATTTATTGGCAGTAGTGGCAAACAGTTTAATGGAAGCCGTTTCTGGTGAACACATGAATTCCAAGACCAGTAACTGTTGATGAGCAATGAAGGGGATTAGAAAAATTTGTTGGAAAATGAAAACCACGCTAGCTACCTACCAATGTTGTCCGGTGAGTGTCCCCATTTGTACTTCTTGTTTACACATGGAGGGAGCTCACTAACTGTTGTCCAAACCAGTTGTTAGACCTCTTTGCCTAAGCTGTTGATGTTTTTTTTTTGTTTTTTTAGCTCTGTTGTTTCTTTTCCAATACCCAACATATTCAACATGTATTATATAGTAATGGTTGTATAACAATTACACCTACTATGTTGAAAAAAGCTTCCCAGTTTTCCCAGTTTTTTACTGGTTCAGTTCTGTATTTTATCACTAGGTGGAGACATTGACCATAGTACCCCACACCCTGAGTACCAACCTGTATGGTCTACCACACTGTCTCTCATCAGCAGCACCAGCTGAAGAGAGTTTTCTCCCTAATTGTCTTCCCCGTGCCCTGTATGAACTTATCCATTCCCTTTGTGATTATTCTGAAGGAGGCCATTAAAGGCCGAAACGTCAATCTTTTAAACTTGCCTAATAAAACTATGATTTTTTTTGGGTGAGCGAGCGTTGCGCCTTTTCCTGTCCAATGATGTTTACACATTTTTAGGTTGCACCTCTACTCACGTTGGTTGAGCACCCTCTACTTCTTTTCAAATGGGATAGAGTGAAACACATTTTGTTGATACCAGTTTCAATCTGTCAGCGCCACTGACTGGCTAGCGCTTGGCTAGCACTTAGCTAGCTAGCTAACGTTAGCTATCATATTTTTGCACAATTAATGTGATCGCTAGCTAGCTAGCTAACTAATGATTTTCCTAAACACTTATACAGTATTTTTTGGTGAATACATTGCTGTCTTTAATACCAATATGCATTTAAATATGCTAGTGTCACTGTTCAATAGTATGTTTGCTAGCACAACCGCTAAGGTAGCAACAATATGAGCTGACTTGCATCCAAGCAAGACTTCACTTTTGCAGATGGAAGAGGCTGTATTGGTAGAAGGATGCATCAACACCCTGGAAAGATGTTTGTAGTGCACTCACTCATAACACTTTTTTTGCGTGATAAATGAGTGTATCGTCTTCAAGCTTGATAAGGTAAGCAAATGCATTTATTATTCTCATAAATGTAGCCCATACATTCATTCTTTGTAACAATGAGATCTTTCATTGCTTTAAACTAGTGGCTTGCGCATCTTGATCATGTGTTGTTCCTTCTCTCTTTCTAGAAGCAATCAGTTACAAGGCCTTCAATCAAACTGAGGACAGAGACATGTGTGCACCAGGTCAAGCAAGGCTTCTCGCATGGATGGCTTTGAGATGTAAGTTAACAATAATTCATTTTGGAACATTGATATGAATTGCCATATTAGGAATAACTCAATTGTATGTTGCTTTTCTTCCACCCAAGCCTTATACACCTGAGTCAGGAAGAAAAGACAACTAGTAGAAAACTGTTTCTTAATGTTGAAGTCCCCAGTCTAGATTGAATATCATAATTAGTTGAAGAAAAATATTGTGTACTGTGGCTCTCTAGGAACAGTTGGCCACACATTAAAGAGTATATTTAGTAGGCCTAAATCCCAGTTGATGCTAGCTACATCGTTTGTTCATATAGCAATTATACAAGACAGAAACATTGTTTCCCTGCTGAAAAATATATAGAATGCCAGTTTCAGTGAGAAGCATAGCAACATCAAGGTAAGTTTGTAATAGCTGAGCCGTTTTTTTCCAAAACAAAACCCGCCCATTAGCCACTGAATCTACCTTTTACAGTGCCTTGCAAAAGTATTCATCCCCCGTGGCGTTTTTCCTATTTTGTTGCATTACAACCTGTACTTTAAATGGATTTTTATTTGGATTTCATGTAATGAACATACACAAAATAGTCCAAATTGGTGAAGTGAAATGAAAAACATAACTTGTTTCAAAAAATTCTAAAAAATAAATAACAGAAAATTGGTGCGTGCATATGTATTCACCCCCTTTGCTATGAAGCCCCTAAATAAGATCTGGTGCAACCAATTACCTTCAGAAGTCACATAATTAGTTTAATAAAGTCCACCTGTGTGCAATCTTAGTGTCACATGATCTGTCACATGATCTCAGTATATATACACCTGTTCTGAAAGGCCCCAGAGTCTGCAACACCACTAAGCAAGGGGCACCACCAAGCAAGCGGCACCACTAAAGACCAAGGAGCTCTCCAAACAGGTCAGGGACAAAGTTGTGGAGAAGTACAGATCAGGGTTGGGTTATAAAAAAATATCAGAAAATCCATTACTAAAAAATGGAAAGAATATGGCACCACAACAAACCTGCCAAGAGAGGGCCGCCCACCAAAACTCACGGACCATTAAAGGAGGGCATTAATCAGAGAGGCAACAAAGACACCAAAGATAACCCTGAAGGAGCTGCAAAGCTCCACAGCGGAGATTGGAGTATCTGTCCATAGGACCACTTTAAGCCGTACACTAAACAGAGCTGTGTTTACGGAAGAGTGGCCAGAAATTATCCATTGCTTAAAGAAAAAAATAAGAACAATTTTTTGGTGTTCGACAAAAGGCATGTGGGAGACTCCCCAAACATATGGAAGAAGGTACTCTGGTCAGATGAGACTAAAATTGAGATTTTTGGCCATCAACGAAAACGCTATGTCTGGCGCAAACCCAACACCTCTCATCACCCCGAGAACACCATCCCCACAGTGAAGCATGGTGGTGGCAGCATCATGCTGTGGGGATGCTTTTCATCGGCAGGGACTGGGTAACTGGTCAGAATTGAAGGAATGATGGTTGGCGCTAAATACAGGGAAATTCTTGAGGGAAACCTGTTTCAGTCTTCCAGAGATTTGAGACTGGGACGGAGGTTCACCTTCCAGCAGGACAATGACCCTAAGCATACTGCTAAAGCAACACTCGAGTGGTTTACGGGGACACATTTAAATGTTTTGGAATGGCGTAGTCAAAGCCCAGACCTCAATCCAATTGAGAATCTGTGGTATGACTTAAAGATTGCTGTACACCAGCGGAACCCATCCAACTTGAAGGAGCTGGAGCAGTTTTGCCTTGAAGAATGGGCAAAAATCCCAGTGGCTAGATGTGCCAAGCTTATAGAGACATACCCCAAGAGACTTGCAGCTGTAATTGCTGAAAAAGGTGGCTCTACAAAGTATTGACTTTGGGGGGGTGAATAGTTATGTACGCTCAAGTTTTCAGTTTTTTGGCTTATTTCTTGTTTGTTTCACAATAAAAAATATTTTGCATCTTCAAAGTGGTAGGCATGTTGTGTAAATCAAATTATACAAACCCCCAAAAAATCCATTTTAATTCCAGGTTGTAAGGCAACAAAATAGGAAAAATGACAAGGGGGGTGAATACTTTCGCAAGCCACTGTAAGATACCAAAATATAAAATGTTTTCAGTAATTGTTTTCAGTATCCTAATTTTGTTTTTGTTTTGTGTTTTGTGTTTGTTTCAGTTCATGCATTCAACAAGCTTTGGACGAAGGACATCTCCAAAGTTTACTTAAAAAGGCAATAGTTCTGAACTTGGTTTGATTTAGTTGTTGTTGTTTTAATGATCTCCATTTTGTTAATTATCTTTTAAACTTCCATTGGTTGAAAGCTATTGCTCAATTATCACGTGGCTCTAGTTACCCCTTTAAACATCCTAAGGTCAACATCCCCATAGTGTTCACATTGCTATCATAATAATAACAATAATAATATGCCATTTAGCAGACGCTTTTATCCAAAGCGACTTACAGTCATGTGTGCGTACATTTTTACGTATGGGTGGTCCCGGGGATCAAACCCACTACCCTGGCGTTACAAGCGCCATGCTCTACCAATTGAGCTACAGAGGACCACGTGAATGTAGCTACATAAAAATATTAAATATATAATTTATTTGGGAAATATCCAGCTTTTTGCTCTTTTCTTCATTTGCATGCTGATGATTTCAATGTGGATTTATTTGTATCTGTTAAGACATTGAATACGTTGTTTAGTATATTCAGCATGTTTAGTTTAGTTCTCTCTGTGAGAAGCAAGTTCATTTAAAGTTATATGTGATTGGGTTTATGTACTGTAGATACAACATTTCAATGTTGTTAACACACAGTAACCGAAAACTGGATCTAATTTGCATATTCATGTTCGCCACAAGTTTCCCAGAGAATTGTTTGCCAGAAGTTTACAAGTCGCCGCAAATCTGCCACAACTGTTTGCCAGAAGCCTGTATTTTTCGATAAGGGTTGTTGAACATAAAACAGTTTTCATGTTTATCATCAACATACTCACCTTAAATACTTCCTGGGGGCAGTTTCCTACTGGCTCCCTAGTGGCTACGGTCTCTCCTTCCCTTAACTCTGATTGGCCGTTTGGAAGGTGTGTCTGCTCCGAGACAGGTAGAGCATCCTTGGAATCCAGGTAATTTCCTGAGTGTCCCTCTCCTTCCTCTCCCCCCTCTCTTCCCTCTCTTTCTCTTTCCACTGTAGACACACATTCTAAGGGATCTCTGTCTACCTCTGTCTCTCTCTCTTTCTGAGTCTCTCTCTCCAGCCTTGAGTGTGGCACGTGATTTTCTACTGTGGCTACAGATGTGTGCTGTGTCTGTCTCTCTGTCTGTCTGTCCGTCTGTCTGGTCGTCTCCAATGAGCTCACGCACACCAGGCCGTTAACGCTTGGTGAGTCCGGACACACCCTCCAGGCCTTCAACATCACCTGAGGAGACCGTCTGCCTATCAGAGGAGGGGGTGAGACAGGGTCACAGGCAGGGGAGCGAGGGGGGTGAGGGGTCAGGGGTGAGGCGGGTGTTGGGGGACACTCTGGGTGGTCCTCACTGCGGAGGGTCAGGGACACACTGTGGACGTAGTCCCCTAGACGCTGCCCTGCTCTGGGGGGGCCCAATGGCGACCGCTCCCCTCCCTCCTCTGGAGGAGAGAAGGAGCGTGAAGACGTCCGCCATTTTCTAGCTGTCTCCGCAACATTGCTGAAGAACTTAATCAGACCCCCAAAATGTCCACCTTTGCTGTCAGAGTGTTTTGGAGCCGCTGGGTGAAAGTCCCTGATGCTCTCAAAGTCCACCGAGCCATAGTCAGAGTCCATGGTCTTGTCCAGTGTGTGGAGCTCTGAGTCAAAACTCCTCTCTGAGTAGGCCGGGTTCCCCTTCCCCAGGACAGAGATCCTCCTCAGGTAACTCCACACGTCAGCTCCCTTAGACCTCCTCCCACCCAGCGGGGCCTTGGGGCTGCCCCTCACACTCTGCTCCTCACAAACTCCTGCTGAGGTACTGTTACAGTTAGAGGAGTGGTTGGCCTGCGCCTGAGCCTGGACCTGACATCTCTTGGTGTAGGAGGCTCTCTCTGTGGGCTCAGAGCCGTTCTGGGTAACAGGCTCCACTAGCGAGGGAAGATGGTGTCTGTCCAGGGTAGCTGTCAGATCTATGTCCTCAAATGAGCAGTCGAACTCGGTGGTGTGTCCGGCATACGAGTGCCTCTTCGCGCGGTGGCGGAGTGTGCTCTTACAGGGGTGCAGGGCGGGCGAGGGGAGGAAGTCCTGGCAGAACGAGTCACCCTCCGTCTCTCCGTCTCTGAACTTAGCGCTGGACCCATATATCTTCCCCATCCTCCCCTTGAAGACAGCCGGAGAGCGGAGCTTCTTGATGGAGCGGACCTTGTCAGCGAAGGACAGTTTAGGGATGGAGGCCGCCTCTCCAGGGAGAATCATAGAGTGAGGTCTTCTGTTATCCAGCTCTGAGGCCACTCTACGCCGGGTCAAGATCTTCCAGATGGCCCCTGTAGCTCTTGGTCTACGGTTGACCTCCGGGCGCTCCTTTCCAGGGGTCTGAGGGGGTGCCTGGGTCTCTGCCTGTCTATCCCCAGCCTCCTGCCACTTTCCCTGGGCTTGGCCTGGCCGCTGACCTTCTCCTTGACCCTCTCCCTGTCCTTCTCCCTCCCCAGTCTCCTGGATAGATACGGTGCCGGTCTCATTCTGCACATCCAGAGACACGTTGAAGACTTTATTGACGAACCCGTTGGGGTCACTGCTGTGGGAGGCAGGGCTGTCCGAGTGTTCCATCCTCTCTCATCTCATCCTACTACAGCTACGTCAGCTATCAGCTCCGGACCGCACCATCTCTTTCACTCACACACACCTGGAGAGAAAAAAAACACAACACAGCAATTTGTCAGCTCTCTTATACTCACACACACAATTCAATTCAAATCAATGAAAGCACCCTGTATTTATCTCTGAGGGGCAATAAGAACCCTGTATTTATCTCTGAGGGGCAATAAGAACCCTGTATTTATCTTTGAGGGGCAATAACAACCCTGTATTTATCTCTGAGGGGCAATAAGAACCCTGTATTTATCTCTGAGGGGCAATAAGAACCCTGTATTTATCTCTGAGGGACAATAAGAACCCTGTATTTATCTCTGAGGGGCAATAAGAACCCTGTATTTATCTCTGAGGGGCAATAAGAACCCTGTATTTATCTCTGAGGGGCAATAAGAACCCTGTATTTATCTCTGAGGGACAATAAGAACCCTGTATTTATCTCTGAGGGGCAATAAGAACCCTGTATTTATCTCTGAGGGGCAATAAGAACCCTGTATTTATCTCTGAGGGGCAATAACAACCCTGTATTTATCTCTGAGGGGCAATAAGAACCCTGTATTTATCTCTGAGGGACAATAAGAACCCTGTATTTATCTCTGAGGGGCAATAAGAACCCTGTATTTATCTCTGAGGGGCAATAAGAACCCTGTATTTATCTCGGAGGGGCAATAAGAACCCTGTATTTATCTCTGAGGGGCAATAAGAACCCTGTATTTATATCTGAGGGACAATAAGAACCCTGTATTTATCTCGGAGGGGCAATAAGAACCCTGTATTTATCTCTGAGGGGCAATAAGAACCCTGTATTTATCTCTGAGGGGCAATAAGAACCCTGTATTTATCTCTGAGGGGCAATAAGAACCCTGTATTTATCTCTGAGGGGCAATAAGAACCCTGTATTTATCTCTGAGGGGCAATAAGAACCCTGTATTTATCTCGGAGGGGCAATAAGAACCCTGTATTTATCTCTGAGGGGCAATAAGAACCCTGTATTTATCTCTAAGCGGCAATAACAAAACTGGGGCTACTGTACAAAGTTTGGAGACTTTGCATGAGTTCAACCAAACAACCCCTTCATTCATAATATGTCATGCAGACCTGACCACACATCAGATGTAGATGCCCCACAGTACAGATTGCTGTTTGTGTAAGACTGGTGCATAAAGAGTGCATCCTAAATGGCACCCTATTCCCTATATTTCAATACTTTTGACCAGGGCCCTAAAGCCGTCCCCTATATAGGCAATAGGGTGCCATTTGGGAGCAGACCCTATTTCTCATCACTTGTAACACATGACTTAACATTTACATTACATTTTAGTCATTTAGCAGACGCTCTTATCCAGAGCGACTTACAGGAGCAATTAGGGTTAAGTGCCTTGCTCAAGGGCACATCGACAGATTTTTCACCTAGTCGGCTCGGGGATTAGAACCAGCGACCTTTCGGTTACTGGCACTACGCTCTTAACCACTAAGCTACCTGCCGCCCCCAACTTAACACAGTAGTACATGGTCTTACATGACTTAACACAGTAGTACATGGTCTTACATGACTTAACACAGTAGTACATGGTCTTACATGACTTAACACAGTAGTACATGGTCTTACATGACTTAACATAGTGGTACATGGTCTTACATCACTTAACATAGTAGTACATTATCTTACATCACTTAACATAGTAGTACATTATCTTACATTACTTAACATAGTAGTACATGGTCTTACATGACTTAACATAGTAGTACATTATCTTACATCACTTAACATAGTAGTACATTATCTTACATTACTTAACATAGTAGTACATGGTCTTACATCACTTAACATAGTAGTACATTATCTTACATCACTTAACATAGTAGTACATTATCTTACATTACTTAACATAGTAGTACATGGTCTTACATCACTTAACATAGTAGTACATTATCTTACATGACTTAACATAGTAGTACATGGTCTTACATGACTTAACATAGTAGTACATGGTCTTACATGACTTAACATAGTGGTACATGGTCTTACATCACTTAACATAGTAGTACATTATCTTACATTACTTAACATAGTAGTACATGGTCTTCCATCACTTAACATAGTAGTACATGGTCTTCCATGACTTAACATAGTAGTACATGGTCTTCCATGACTTAACATAGTAGTACATGGTCTTCCATGACTTAACATAGTAGTAAATGGTCTTCCATGACTTAACATAGTAGTAAATGGTCTTCCATGATTTAACATAGTAGTACATGGTCTTCCATGACTTAACATAGTAGTACATTATCTTCCATGACTTAACATAGTAGTACATGGTCTTCCATGACTTAACATAGTAGTACATGGTCTTCCATGACTTAACATAGTAGTAAATGGTCTTCCATGACTTAACATAGTAGTGCATGGTCTTCCATCACTTAACATAGTAGTACATTATCTTACATCACTTAACATAGTAGTACATTATCTTACATGACTTAACATAGTAGTACATGGTCTTCCATCACTTAACATAGTAGTACATGGTCTTACATGGAACATTCTATACAGGCATACATAACTAACAACATGTTTTGGGTATTTGAGATGAGTTGATGTAGGGTGACTTGAAATAAGGGAATCTTTCATCTTGTGTGTAGTACAATGGTCCCTTTAAAGCGAGTTGGCATTATTTAAACCTACACCCCCATACCCCGCTATATCCCCGCGAGCCACATTAGCCCAAGTAATTATACAGAAGACTACGGTACACACACACACACACACACACACACACACACAAACCAGGATCCCACGTTGCCATGGAAACCGACCTCTACGGAGGTGGTGGTGATGTGTGTGTGCAGCAGCAACATTTGTGTGTGTGTGTGTGTGTGTGTTTGTGTGTGTGTGTTGATATCATATGACAGACCCCTTCATCTGAGGAGGATGACTGAGAGCTAGGCCCAGCCTCCATTCACTCTCTATTCCACATATTAATGCACTATACTAGCCCAGGTCATTTGAGATAGGACTATGCCCTATTAGCCTACGTTATGTGGACCTACAGATCCCCCCCACAAGCGTAGTTATGGTTACATATAGTTAGATACAGTATTATAAACTAATCTAAGAGGCATGGTTACATCATGTAGTTAGATACATTATTATAAACTCATCTAAGAGGTATGGTTACATCATGTAGTTAGATACAGTTTCATAAACTAATCTAAGAGGTATGGTTACATCATGTAGTTAGATACAGTAATATAAACTAATCTAAGAGGTATGGTTACATCATGTAGTTAGATACAGTTTCATAAACTAATCTAAGAGGTATGGTTACATCATGTAGTTAGATACAGTAATATAAACTAATCTAAGAGGTATGGTTACATCATGTAGTTAGATACAGTTTCATAAACTAATCTAAGAGGTATGGTTACATCATGTAGTTAGATACAGTTTCATAAACTAATCTAAGAGGTATGGTTACATCATGTAGTTAGATACAGTAATATAAACTAATCTAAGAGGTATGTTACATGTAGTTAGATACAGTATTACAAAACGAATCTAAGAATTATGGTTACATGTAGTTAGATATAGTATTATAAACTAATCTAAGAGGTGTGGTTACATGTAGTTAGATACAGTTTTATAAACTAATCTAATAGGTATGGTTACATGTAGTTAGATACAATATTATAAACTAATCTAAGAGGTATGGTTACATATAGTTAGATACAGTATTATAAACTCATCTAAGAGGTATGTTACATGTAGTTAGATAAAGTATTATAAACTAATCTAAGAGGTATGGTTACATCATGTAGTTAGATACAGTATTATAAACAAATCTAAGAGGTATGGTTAAGTAATGTAGCTAGATACAGTATTATAAACTAATCTAAGAAGTATCCTCCACTAGAAGTTTAACAATAGTCCAGGAATGTGTCAACTGTCCTATATAAAAAATAGTATAATAATATAGAACAGATGTAATTTATTCAACATCTCTTATCAAAGATTCATTAAATGTAGAAGAAAAAATATATATGCCAACAGGACATTTTAAATATGAATAATTTGCATCACGTTATGTTTATTTATTGTTCTAAATAGGCCTACAGAAACGTCAAAGTAAACTGAAAAGTGCATAGCTGAAGAATAAATTAGGATAGGCAACGATAAGGATCGGCTATAGACAATCTTTAGAATGGTTGGGGAAAGTTTTTTTTCTCATCTAAGTAATTTAACCGACCCATTTAACGAGAATTCGTTACAGTATAGCCTCTATGGGCAATTTATTGACGATAACAGACGTAGTAACAAGCGAGAAACGTTTACGAACATGCATTTTAAAAATCGTCGTAACCTACCAACCGGTTTTCAAGAGCTGAAACTCCTCAATATTTCTGGACAAAACGTCCTCTTTCAGTTACGGTAAGTAGGATACAAAAACAGCAGTTGACTTCCCACCTGGTAAACTTTTTATATCCATGAGTAACTCTGAAATTACGCTGTGGCGAGTTCTTAGTTCTCAGGCGAAGGCTTTTGACGTGGGCTAATCTCCTTAAGTTCTAGAAATCCTCCTCAAAACTCTGAAAATGTCCAACATTTTCTCTCTGAGCAGAGGGAATGACGAACACTCCTGCCCTTTAAGCTCAAGCAGCAGACGCCGACACTCAGATATATGATAAAACGCTCTCAAGCAGACAGTGGAAAGCAGAACCGACTCTATATGATCAGCAGCCAGGGCGCAAAAAACACACCGGCACACACACACACACACACACACACACACACACACACACACACACACACACACACACACACATACACACACACCACACAATAGTTGTATTGAAACAAATTACCTTGATAGACCTAGTTTCCTAAAAAATATATAGATTTATCCGTTTCTGTTGAAATGTAATTAGAAAACTGCCCACTAGTTCATTTAAGTAGC